TTAGCTTTGTTCTCTTCCCTCTTGCTTTCCCTTTTACCTGTTTGAACCCTCTCAATGGGCAAAAACAGCCCCGTGTAGAGTGTGCCTAATTGAGGAATGTTAAACCTTCCCATGCTGCGCTGCAAGTCAGCCTCTTTCGAAGCTGTCCACCGGGACGTGCCCGGTGCAGGAGCTAAATATAGAAAGGGCTCCCTCCTCCCGCAGCCTCCCATCCTCTGTGGGCACTGGCACAGGCGAGAATCGATGCTGAGCTTGGTGGTGTCGGCAGGCTGCGTGACAGCCGCCCCTGCCTAGAGACCCTTATCCGCACCTGCCGCCGATTGGCTCTGATAGGGCCCTGACATGCTGGGGACAGGAAGTCACCATGGCGACCCCACACAGCAGAGCAGGAGGGGACAGAGGCTTGGCTGTGAGGAGGCAGACTCGGGATGCACTCGGGCTACCGCCACTCCAGGCCACCTGCAGAGGGGGCAGCCCTGTCGGTGATGGAGGGGGAGGCAGGCTGCCTTAACGCCGGAAGTCCTCCGTGGCATTCTCAGGGAGCTCTTCCCTGTGCTGCCCCAGAACACCAAGAATGGATGAATCAGTCCCGGCTCATCAGAGCCTTTCATGCTAAACCAGCCCGAGTGACTGATTTAGAAACTGCGTGGTCTTGTTCCCTGAGTGGATTTCTGAGGCACACTCCAGAGCAGGCCCAGGCCTGCGCTATCTCCACGTGCACCCTGTGATTAGGCGTCTGTGGCTGCGAGGCACTGGGTGCTGGGTGCTGTACCCAAACAGGCACAGAGCAGGATGCGCTGATGGGACACACGCACCCGCAACTCTGGGGCCACAGGGCAGCAGTGAAAACAGTGACACCATTTGTGCCAACACCTCAGCTGATTGTCACAGCCCTGCGAGGAACTGCTCTGATTCTCAGTGGACGAGAGAACAGAGGGGTTCAGTGCCTTCATAACAACGCTCTTAGCAAGTGACAGAATGAACACGCTCAAGTTTTCTAGCTCCGGTACGGGGTAAGGACGTCTGGTGTTTCCCAGACACTGGACCTTTAATCTGTAGCATCAGAACCACTTGGAGACGCTCTCGCCAGGAGATTCTGCCTGAGGAGTCTGCAGAGGCAGGTGTGTAACAGTCTTCAGGCACTGCGGCGTGCAGCCCTTCTACGAGTCACACGCGAAACTGTCCCTGCCTCAGCAGCCTTGGTTAGCATGTGGCCCAGTGGCTCTCAGCCCCATCGGGGCATCAAAATCACCTGGTCAGTTTAAAGGAGCATTAATGCCCACCTCCTGGCCCTCCCCCCACCCTACCAGGGCCCTTTAAATTAGTCCCTCGTGCTGGGGCCTGGCATTGCTGCAGTTAGAAAGCTCCTTGGGCAAGTCTAACATGCAGCCAGAGGGGACAGAACCACTTTTTAGGGCTCTTTGTTTTACAGATGAGGGCCCTGCAGCTATGTGAGGGGGAGTGGGTTGGAGTGAGTTGTTAGCAGCCATGTAACTCTCTGGGTGGAGAACCCAATGTCTTGGCTTCTATTTTAAGCTCTCTCCACTTCCAAGCTCTGTGTTCTTGGGGCTGTGAGCCTCAGAGTAGCTATGGGAGCCCCATACCCAAATGGGTGGTGTGCTGGTGGGAGTATTTCCTTTCCTAGACTCGTAAGTGCTTCCAAAGCTGTCCATGCTCCCCTGACTCCCACATCCCAACAGTCCTGAAGACTTTGTTGTCCCTCCCACGTGACACCTTTCTTCCTTCTGCACTGCTCTCACTGCCCCCCCCCCCCACTAAGTTACCCATTGCCACTTCAGGCCAGCATCATCTGTCCTGCAGGTTTGGTCCAGAATTTGCTCATTGGGATGACATCTCTGACCTCATTCCCTCTCTGCCCTCCTACCCACACACACTGGGCTTCTGTCCCCTCATGTTCAGCCAGCTATCGTCACCTGCCACACTTCACAGGGCACCAGTGCTCAACAGAGACTGACGAACTGATCTTGTTAGAACAGACTTGCTACTGGGGTGTAGCAGGGAAACCCAGATGTTGTTTCCAGACCCAGAAGACTCAGAACACAATGTTTTTGTTATGCATGTGCAAAATAACAAAGGAGGAAAGGACTCAGCCTGGTGTACTGCGGTCTTCATGGTACTCACATCTTGTCTATTGCCCTCATGTATGGGCTGGACTTGTTGACTTGCTTCTAACTAATAGAATCTGGTAGAAGTGATGGGATCCCACTTCTGAGATTATAAAAAGATTGTGGTGTCCATCTTGGAGGTGGGGGAGCTGTCTCTTTCTCATGGGTGAACAGCCAGCTGCCATGACAAGAGGCAGGCCACGTGGTGAGGGACTGAAAGCAGCCAGCAGCCCTAGGAGTCAAGCCTTGAGAAGACTGTAGCTCTGGCTGACACCTTGATGGCAACCACCTGAGAGTTCTTGAGCAAGAGGCACCTCGCTAAGCCATATCTGGATTTTTGGCCCACAAAAGACAAAAGAGATGATAAACATTTGTTCTTTGTGGTAGCTAAGTTTTAGGGGCACTTTGTTATGCAGCAGTAGATGACCGATTAATATATGTCCCTTGGATTCCTCCTGTGTACACATAGTGCTGTGGGCATAGCAAGGGTAAGTGGCACCTACTGGGGCTTAGGACAGGGCCGTGGACTGGGAGGGAGAGCTGCAGAGCCCGGCCCTCTGGACACTCTGTGCTAAGCAGCAGACAACTGTGAAGGCAAACGGCTTGCAGGTATTCTGTCTGTCCCTTGAAAGCCTGCTCAAATCCCAGCTCCTATACCCACCTTGTTAGCCATTCTAGTACTGGATTCTGCCTGTCTGTAATGTCCCCAGAACACACTGCCTGTCTTAGTATTTCATTGTCTTTCTACTTCAAATTCATTCATTCATTCAGTTAATGGCTATAGAGTCCTTCCTGTGGACCCAAGACGGCTCACAGCTCAGGGGACCCCGCAGTGCACAATGAGTGCAGATGTAATTGTATTGCTTGCTTTGCTCCTTTTCCGTGGCTTCCCAGAAAGCACCTTGAGGCAGGACACTCTGTACTGCTGGACATCCCACGACATCCAGCCCGGGTCAGCGTTCGGCAAATACTTGATGACTGATGATGAGAAAATGAAGAACTGCCTGTCAGAGGCATATTAGAGGCTTGTATTTGTGTGATATGGGACAAAATGGGTGGCTGAGAGTCTGAAGATCCACTCTCCTCCCTTCTCCTTGGAATAGATCGAGATTTAACTGACATCTACTTAGCACCTATCGTATGTCTGGGAAGCAGCTGGGCACTTTCCCACACATGAGCTTATTTAATCTTCACAAATGTTTGCTAGTGAGGCAAATATAATTCCCATTTTATAGTGAGTAAATCAAGGCTCAGAGAGGTAAAATAACTTGCTCCAGTTGCACAGTAAAAATAACAGCTAACACTTGTGGAGTGTTCAGAATTAGCTCATTGAATCCTCCTCCAGTCCAGACTGAAGCAAATAAGCATTAGGTAACTTGCCCGAGTTTGCACTTGTAAGCTAGCGAGTGGCAGGGCCAGGAACGGGACCAGAGGGTCTCACCACTCTAGCGCTCTTATTCTTAACCAGGCTCAGGGGGTGGCGGAACTGAAGTTCAAAGTCAGGTCTTGGGCTGGAGCCGGGTGCTCCCCCTCCCACCCAGAGTGGCTCTCTCCTGCCTCCTGCCCAGCATACCCACCCAGCTTAGTTCTCTCCTGTGCCCCCCTGACTTGCCAATGTGCTGATAAATTCTCGAGTCTTTCCTTGAAAAATTCAACACTTTTTTTATCTCAAAAATGAGGAAATCAGAGCTCTTCTCCTAGGTTATCATGGAAATGTCATCCATTGCCTGCCCCAGCTTTCTGGATGTCCTGCTGCAGGGGAGAGGTATGTGAAGAAGAGGAGGAGGAGGGAAGATAAGAAAGAAATAATAATTTAAAAAAACCCCAAACCACTGAAGGAACAAGGAGTTTCTTATCTCTGAGGCTAAGTTTTGGTTCAGAATGAGTCCAAAGCCCTAGTTCTGTGCTTTTTTTTTTTTTGGTCAAATTGTGACAGTAGGAGAATAATGTGAGCTGGCAAGTAATAAATAGTTTCCATCGGCATCAGGTGGGAATTTAAAATTCAGAAGGCAGGCTCCTCGATTCTGAATTAACTTCCTTTCTTCCTGGGCACAAGAAGGTCTATGTTTCTCTCATCTTCTCCTCAGCCCCACACACATGCTCTTTCATGCAAGTCAACATTCCTGCCCCACAATAAGTGTGATTGCTTCCCATTATGTTGTCATGGCAACACCCATTGCCATCTGGGGGGTGGGGAGGTGGCAGCGGAAACAAATGAGTGGCCAATCAGGCTTTCCAGGAAAGTCTCATCATGACACACTGCTCACTGCCAACTGCTGGAGCTGTGCAGAATGAAGATTATGTACCGAGGGCACAGGGACGGTCCCTCTCCCAGTCTGGCCAAGGGACTGAGGGTCACAGGGACTCTTTAGTCCATGTTAATGTGCATTTGCTGACTGACGGATTATTAGTGTGAGAAGGGAGATACAAACAGCAAATGGTACCATGGAAAGCAAAAGGCCCTTCTAGGTTGTAACACTCATGTGATTTGTATGAAAGATACACGAGAGCTAGTTCTTTTCTGTGCCAAGATACGACAAAGATTACAGAACCTAGCGTCACCATGGTCACCACCCCTCTTGCCCCCAATCCAGAAATGGAAATGTAAAAGTGCTATCGTCAAGACCTCCGAGGACAAGCATCAGGGAAGCCTGGCTCCCGTAACAGACACTCTATACTTCGAAGGATCTGCCAGTTAGTAGCTGTGTAGTCTCTCTGCTGCTAATATCTCTCAGCCCCAATTTTCACATTTATGAGATGGGGATCATGATACCGCACCCCTTATAGGGCTGTCATGAGGAGCGCCCACCTCATAGCCATTACTGTCACAGCTGATCACAGACGATGCCAGGCAGTGTCTCCCTGCCTCCTTACCTGAGGCTCTACGTTGCGGGGAAAACACAGCAGGAATGAATTTTCAGTGCCCTGGGAGCCACAGCTATCGCCTTTTGCTGTAAGAGACTCCCAAACTCCCTTTTTCTCCTAGATGGGAGAAAGCCATCGCCACCTTCTCTGAGGCCCTGGTGGACAGGAGTTGACAACTTGGCATTCCTCTTTAGAATGGCTGCTGACATCACAGCACCATCCACTGAAGCGTTCTTTCGACCCCACCCGGGGGCACGGAATGGGCCTGGCCTTGAAGGCGAAGCACAGCATCGAGAGCCTCTGCAAGCACATGTGAGCGATCTCTCAAGACTCAGGTCAAGAAGTCTCCGGCTCACCCTCCTGTCCCAACACTCAGTGCCTGACACTGGGCCCCCAGGGCTTTCTGATCAAGAGCGGGGAGGACAGCCAGCCAAAGCGGGCGGCTGAGGTCAAGTGGAGTAATTAATCCTAAAGGTTACCGGTGCCTGTCCTGCTGGGGAGCAGGAATCCAATTACCCACAGTGACAGCAGCTCGTCCCTGGTGAGATGCTCATCTGCAGGGCAGCCGACAACCTGTCCCCTTGAAATCTTCCTGACGAGCAACCCCCACCCTCACCCCTCCACTTCCTCTGCACACCCCAGCCAGGCACAGACCTCAGCTGACCAAGACGTTGCCACAGTGCCTGGGTTGTGATGCAAAGGAGTGAATTCCGGAAGGCTGGACCAGGACAGCTTCCAGAGGTCTCCCAGAAAGACCCCATTTCCCCTGGACAAACAAAGACCAGAAAAACTGGTCATTTTGCCAGGGGGAGCCAGACCTATATGATACAGCAAAAGCAGAAGGGAAAGAGAGGGAATCAGAGAATCTAAATGAGTTTGTCTATTAAATAAATATGCAAAATTATGCAGATGTGGAAGTGGGCACATAATTTTCAATCAATTGCTCTGGCACCATCTGAAATAGACCTATGGTTCTGGATGAGGGGACCACTGAAAGAATTCTGGCTCCCTTTCCTTCACCATCCCGAAGAATGTGGGGTAGGGAGCAGGGGAGTTGGGAGGGCAGTGCTGTATGCCAGATGACCTTTTCTTTCCTTTCTATGTGGTCCTGACTCAGGCTAAGATGGGCTCCTACTTGTCCAGAATTTCCACCCTAGACGAGACTGGAAAAAAGGCCAAGTTTTTTGCACAGCCACCACCAGGGAAAGGAATTTGACTTTTGTAATGCAAATTGGCTTCCTGATTTGAAAGTACATGATTAAAAATGATATGTTTCAATGTGGGAGCCAGATAGCAGATTTGGTAACAGAAAGCAGCAGCTGCTGCTTACACACAGAGGTGTCTGCAAGGTGTGTGGAGGAGTAGGTAAAGAATTATTTGTTAGGACCTGGAGAAGACAGGACTTGCTAATCAGCATGGACCATTGGGGTGCGATTTTATAAACCTAAACACAACCTGGGTGTAGAAAGGCTGAGCACCTCCTCCCCCAACTCCATGTGCCAGGTGCTGTGCCAGGTGCATAGTATACAGCAGTGAACAAGACAGGCAAGATCCTTGGCCTCACCGAGCGATAGCTTAGTGAGGACTGCCAATCTGGGCTCAAATTTGGACTTTGCCACTCAAGAATCATGTTATATTGGCAAATTGCTTAATTTCTCTGTGCCTCAGTTTCTTCATCCCTAAAATAAGAATAATGAAAGCATATACTGCCACCTTTCTCCCAGCCATGATAAAGAGACAAGGGCTGGATTTACCTTCCAGTCTCAAACAACTAGAAAATCATACAAAATATATGCAACAAATATTTTCAAACACTGGACAACAAACAGGCAATATAGGACCATGATCCTTGAGAGAGGGGAGTCAAACAAGGAGGGGCCCCTACAATTTCCCTACCTTACTGCCTAGACCCAATTTCCAGGCTGTAGCACCAGGAAGGGGAACCTAAACAGAGACCAGAATTCCTGGAGTTCTAGAAGATGGAGGCAGCTAGACTATTCAGGGTAGAATGCCAGAAAGAGCTGTGGATATCTGAAAGGGATCCCCTTAAATCTGTGGCTAAATACCAATTTGCACATATAAGGAATGAAACTCCATGAGGCTGGGGAAACAACCATCAAGAAGCAGGAAGCCAAACGATTTCCAGGGCTTAAACAGGCCTGGGAAGAGTTCACGTTCCCACGAGCCAGAGTGAACAGACCTCATAATACAGCCGTGTGCTGCATCCCATTTTGGTCAATGCCAGATTGCATACATGATGATGGTCTCATAATTATAAAGGAGATGAAAAATTCCCATTGCCTAGTGATACTGTGGCCATCTTAATGTTGCAGTGCAACACATTACTGACGTGTTTGTGGTGACACTAGAGTAAACAAACCTACTGCACAGACAGTTGTATGAAAGTATACCACATAAATTATGTGCAGTACATAATACTTGATAATGGATGACTTTGTTTATGTATTTACTATACTGGTTTATGTATTTACCCCACTATACTTTTAATTGTTATTTTGGAGTATCCTTCTACTTATGAAAAAAAAAAAAGGGTTAACTGTAAAAGAGCCCCAGGCTGTCGACTCTGAAGGTATTCCAAAAGAAGGCATTGTTATCACAGGAGATGACAGCTACATGCGTGTTTTTGCCCCTGTAGACCTTCTAGTGGGACAAGGCATGGAGGTGGAAGACAGTGATATTGATGATCCTGACCCTGTGTAGGCCTAGGCTAATGTTTGTGTTTGTCTCTTAGTTTTTAATAAAAATGTTTAAAAAGTAAAAAAAAAAAAAAATCAAAAATTTAAAAAATAGAAAACATCTTATACAATAGAGATATAAAGACAGAGAATATTTTTGTATAATTGTACAATGTGTTTATATTCTAAGCTAAGAGTTATTACAAAAGAATCAAAAAGTTTTAAACAATTAAAAAGTTTATAGGGTAAAAAAGTTACAGTAAGCTAAGGTTAATTTATTATTCTTCTTTTTAGAGATGAGGTTTCACTTCTTTCATGGTAAGTACCCTATACAGGTGTATCGTTTTTAATTTTTATGCCATATTTTTATTGTACCTGTTCTATGTTTGGATACACAAATACTTACCATTGTGTTACAGCTGTCCACAGTAATAAGTACAGTAACATGCTGTATAAGTCTGTGGCCTAGGAGCAACAGGCTACACCACATAGCCTACAAGTATAGTGGACTATACCATCTAGGTTTGTGTAAGTTCACTCTATGACGTTCACACCATGACAAAATTGCCTAATGATGCATTTCTCAGAACATATCCCTGTTGACAAGCAATGCATGACTGTGTACAAAACAACAGGTAGGGTCATCAGAAAGGCATCACTTTAGTAGTGTGGCTAAATTAGCCCTACACAAAAGGTAGCTCCAGATTCACCCTAAGAAATCTTAAAAACAAGCCTTGAAAGGATCAAACTGATCCCAATTAATTTAACTGTATGCCAGAACAAAGTCCAGCAAAAGAATACAAAAATTTTACCCAACAAAGTATTATTCACCATGTCTGGCATCTAATAAAAAAAATAAGGTATGCAAAAAAGAAAAAAAATGACCAATGAGCAGGAAAAAAAAAATCAATTAATAGAAAATGACTCAGAAATGACAGATGATGGAATTAGCATACAAGAATGTTAAAACTATTATAAAAAATATACCACTATGTTCAAGAATGTAGAGCAAAACATGAACATGACAATAGAAATGGAAGATAGAAAAATGACCCAAATAAAACTTCTAGAAATGTAAAAATATAACGGAAATGAAAAATATAATAAATGAGATTAAAAGCAGATCAGATATATCAGAAGAAAGGATTAGTGAATTTGAAGAAATGGCAATAGAAAATATCTAAAATACAGCAAAGAGAGAAAAAAAACTGTGGGGGGAGGGAAAAAAGAACATAGCATCAGTGACATGTAGGATAATAACAAGTAATCTAACATATAAAAAAGGAACACAGAAAAAATACTTAAAGAAATGGTCAGAAATGTTCAGAATTTGATGAAACATATAAACTCACTGATTCAAGAAATGAATTGAACTCCTAGTAAACATAAAGAAAACCACACGAAGGCACATTATAATCAAATTGCTGAAAACCAGCAATAAAGAGAAAATCTTAAAAGCAGCCAGTGGAAAAAGAATATTACATACAGAGGAACAATGGCAAGGTGGCAGACTTCTTGTCATAAATTATGCAAACCAGAAGACAATGACAGCCTTAAGCACTAAAAGGAAGCAACACAAACAAACAAATAATTGTCAACCTAAAATTCTATGTACAGAAAAATATCATTCAAACTTGAAAACAGAATAAATACTTTTTCAGATCAAAGCTAAGATAGGTCATCATTATCAGATCTGTCAATAAGAAATTTTAAAGAAAGTTCTCCAGGAAAAAGGAAAATGATAATAGATGGAAATCTAGACCTATACAAAGTAATAAAAAGCACTGGACAGAGTAGATATGTGGGAAAAGTAAAATACATTTTTACTCATTTTTAAAATATCTTTAAAAATGTTGACTGTTTTGAGCAAAATATTTCCACTGTGTTGTGGGACTGATAAATAGTGTAAGTAAAATGTATAACAACTGTATCACAATGGATAGCAGGTGCAAAATAAAATATATAGTTAGTTTTTTTAACCTATACATGAAATGATATAATATTATTAAAAGGTAGACTTTGATATGTATATTGTAAACCATAGAACAACCACTAAAAAACAAAACAGAGATATGGCTAATAAGCCTGTAATGGAGATAAAAGGGAATCATAAAAATTCTTAATATGAAATAAGGCAGAGAGGAAAACAGGAACAAAGTACATATGTGACAATTAGAATAATAAGAGAGTAGCCTTGAACACAATTTTATCTATAATTACATTAAATATCCGTGGTTTAAAAACTTCAATTAAAAAATAGATATTATAATATTGAATTTTTAAAATAGCATGACCCAAATATATGCTGTCTACAAGACACACACTATAAATATGAAGACACAGGTAAGTTAAAAGTGAAAGGATGGAAAAAGACATATCAGGAAAACACTGATCAAAACAAAACTGGAGTGTCTATATCAGACAAAGCAGGCTGTAGAATAAGGAATATTACAAGAGATAAAATGATAAAGAAGCCAAGTCATCAAAAGAAAATAACACCCACATGAAGCAAAAGATGATGTTAATGTAAGGAGAAAGAGGCAAAACCAAAACTCTAGTTGGAAATTTAAACATTCTTCTTTTAGCAATTGATAGAAAAAGTGGTTGAAAATCAGTAAGAGTGTAAAAGATTTGGAACAATCTCATCAACCTTCTTAATTGACAGTTTTAGAACACTGTCAATTGTGTGTCAACACTACAACAGCACAATACACATTGTCTTCAGGTACATATAAATCACTGACTAGACTATAAAACAAGTCTCTGCTGCTATAACCAGTGAGTAAAAAGTAAATAAATAAATAAATAAAATAAAATATCAACATATTGTAATGAAATTAAATCACACAGTCTTTACTTTGATTATAATAGAATTAAACTAGAAATAAAAGCTAAAAACATGTCTGGAAAATCCTCAAATATTAGGAGGTTAAACAATGTATTTCTAAGGAACCCATGAGTCAAATAAAAAGCACAAGGGAAATTATTAATAGAAAAATATTTTGAACTGAAAAAAATGAACACAACATACTGAACTCAGTGGTATATAGTAGCTAAAGCGATGCTTAGAAAGAAATGTATACCATTAAATGTTCATATTAGAAAGAAGAAAAGTCTAAAATCAATGAAATAGAAAACAGAAAAGTAAAGAGAAATTCAATTAAGGAAAAGTTCTTTCCTTAAAAAGATGAATGAAATTTAAAAATTGCCAGAT